GCAACAACAATCGAGGGCAACAGAAAAGGAGATTTGTATTGAACAGGAACAAATAGGGATTCATAAAATAATGATTGAACGAGAATAATAAGTGAATAAATTGTGTGTAAACACTCGGACCCCTCCCTTTCATGTAGTGGTGTCGATTGACGGTCCCTTTGGACTCCTCCATGTAAGCTTTGTTAATATCCATGATACCATAATGTGTGTCTATATATGCTTGTTCTATTTATGAATGCAGTCTCCAATTTGCCTCACATGGGTTCTCTCTTATTTAGGATATATAAATTCCCCTGAAGAGCCCATTAGGGCGAAACATGTCAGGTTTTATCTGAATGAGTCCTCTATTATGTCCTATTTTAAAAATAATTGTTGACTTGATGTAACACTTATACTGCATGTGAATTGGACCAATTATGTTTCAACTTTATTTATTTATTTCCAATTATGTAATAAATGAATTCATATTTTTATACAGAGAGTTTATAGCATTTCTTAAAAGCCCCTCCCCTTTCGGTAATCGCATACCTTAAGGTGGAATCTACTCCTTGTATTTTGTTTTACCCAGCTCCTTGGTGTTTGCTACTGTCGCTGGTATACGATAACAGATATTGGGGTCTGTCCCCTGTTTTCTGCTGAAACCAGTGTACGCTGCGATCACTTATACTGAACCCAGTAACTGTATAAGACAATGTCACTGTGTTCCCGGGAGAGACTGATTGAGCGGCTGGCTGGGTCACAGTGTACTGAGCAGCACAATCTGAAATACAGAAATAAATGTCATTTGTATAAAATATCAGATTTTATCATGTAGATTATACATTACCAAACCCCATCTCCCCTCTTACATGTGCAGAATAAGACAGAGGTGATGAATAGGACAGCCCAGGACATGGTGCAGGTGACTCTGCCAGACATCTGTGGATTGTGTTCTATCTCCCCTGCTCATTATATACAGAGAACAGACATTAATGTTAATGTGATAGAAGCTGATAGGACAATGCAGGCTCCTCCCTGACACCTATCTTTATTATCAGGCATAAAAGAGTCTTAAACTGAACAGTTCATATCATTTATAGCCATAGTCAGAGATTTATCACTGGAGCTTTTAGGCACACAAATGCAAAAAAACATTACATTAACCAAACTTCATACCAGCCATATCCCTACTGTGCCATTGCTGTTATGGAGTAAAGCCATAAAGGCTACTTTTAGGATATCAAAGCACGGATATTTATTCCAACATTTTTCTGGCACTCCAGATGTCCCAATACCATTTTTTCAAGACCAAGTACAAGTACTTTCCCTCAGGTACTCGCTGATACCAATTACCGATACTTTTTCTTAAAGGGACATGTGACATTAAAAAAAAAACAATACAGACTAATGATTTTACAGCAGTTTCTCTCTGTGCGGGTGGGTGACAGGCTCTCCGTGCAGTGCGGGTGGATACCGGGCTCTGCACGTGGATGCAGGGCTCTTCGTGCGGTGCGGGTGGATGCTGGGCTCTGTAGGTGGGTTCCGGGCTCTCCGTGCGGTGCGGGTGGATTCTGGACTCTGCATGTGGGTGCAGGGCTCTCTGGGTGGTGCGAGTGGGTGCCTTGGTTCTCCGTGCGGTGCGGGTGTGTGCCGGTCTCTCTGTGCTGTGCATGTGAATACCAGGCTCTGTGGGTGGGTGCCGGGCTCTCCATGCAGTGCGGGTTGATGCTGGGCTCTGCATGTGGGCCCAGGGCTCTCTAGGTGGTTAGGGGGGTTGCTGGGCTCTGTGGGTGGTTGCAGGGCTCCCCGTGCAGTGTAGGTGGATGCCGGGCTCTGTGGTTGTGGGCCGTCTCTCCGTGCAGTGCGGGTGGGAGCCAGGCTCATGCTGGGCCCTGCGGGTAGGTACTGGTGTTCTCATGCCATGCACCAAGGTTGTACAGTGGTGTAGGGCTGTCCTTTGCGGTGCTTTTCTCTGCAGGCACTGGAAAGGATGAGCAGATGTGGAGCCAGGCGGGCGCTGTCAAAGACAGCTACGGCAAGGTCCCCAACAAGCTGCCTGAGGTCCCCTGCAAGCACGGGACCTTAGGCAGCTGAACTTGTTAAAAAATTTAAAGGGCCATTATTGGCCTTTAGAATCGGGGCATTTTAAGGAGTACAAGTACAGAAAAGGACCTGTATTGGCTCTGAAAACTATACTAGTATCGGTATCGTTCGCGAGCAGAAAAAAATTGCCGTCTGGAGACGGCAAACCGCAGATGCAGCAGTGCCGTCCGTCCGTTTTTTTACTACGGGCGGACGGCAAGAGGTTAAAGACCAGGGTGTTAAACTCCCTTCCTGGCCAGGTGATTTTTCAGTATTCCGCACTGCAGTGCTTTGGCTGGCATTTATTCCGTCATGCAACGCTGTACTAAAATTAATTTTATACCATTTTATGGGGGGGACAGATAGAGCTTTTTTTGGTGGTATTAAATCACCACTGGGGTTTTTATTTTTTACTATATAACAAAAAAAGTACCTTAAATTTGGAAAGAAACTCTGTTTCCCTATAAAATGTAAGGAAACATTTATTATCACCCCAATTTTTTGATAAAACATAAAAGACTGGGTCACGTTGGGTAATTAGACACCAAACATGTCAAGCTTTAAAATTGCGCACGCACGCAAAATCACAAAAAAATTACCACACTGAAAACTGGCCATAGGCGATGCTTTAAACACTTTTACTGCTCATCATTTTAGTGTTATAAGTGATTAATGGCCCTAAAATTATTGCTCGCACTCCAACGTTCGCGGTAACACGTGCAACACAATAGGCGCAATAGTCATTTTCACGCGTAGACGCAACCAACGCATGTTTGCGTGTGTATGTGGGGGACAGGGGACTTTTAAAAAAAATTGTGTTTTTAAAATTTTTTTATGCTTCTTTAATTGTTTTACTGTTTTTTTTTTTACACTTAACTTTATTGCTATCACATGGGGGACTAAGAAGCACCCTATGTGATAGCCAATTTACATGACAGGTCCTCCTTTATGGAGACATCAGGGGGCCTCCAAGACCCATAATATTACCTAGGGACCCTCAGAGAAGCTGATGAAGCAGAGATCTGCTTCACCAGCTTCTCCCCAGCTTCTCCCCAGCTTCTGTAGCTGGGAATGACAGCTGAATGCGGAAGTGATGTAATATACATCACTTCCTGCATTCGGGGATCGGAACAACCTACTGCACCTACTACAAGTGATCGGGCGTCTCTAGAGACGCCCGATCGCTTGCATGTAAACTGCCATCGTTGGCTGTCTACATTTTTGACAGTTTCCCCACTCGTGTGCGCGCTGAGCGGCGCGCGATTGAGGGGAGGGGAAGGACGTCTAAAGACGCCCACCCACTCCTGTAAGGCTCCCATCCGGCCGTTTACCTATGGCCAGCGGACGCGGGAGGTGGTTAATTTGTGAATACCTTCATCACACAGAAATTTAGTTATAGTGTAATTCTAAAAAGGTTATTTACATGTTTATCTACAGCGATAACAGTTGTTTTAAAACATTGATCAAACTAGAAAACAAAATTATTTTTCATTTGTTTCATCTTTCTGTCCTCATAAAGATGAAAAATATAGAAAAAAAAATTGCAAGATAATATTGCCAAAATATAGTTTTGTCTGAAAACACAATATGAGTATACAAAAAGGGGCACTAACCTTATACAAAAAGTGTCACAAAATGAATCCAAGTGGATTTTTCTACTTGACACTATGGTTCCAAAAGGATTAAATATAGAATTTGATTTAAATTGCTTTTTGACCAATAAATAGATAAAAAATATTCCCCTTTTCCAGTTTACTTTTTAATATGAATTTTAATATTTTTAATATATTTTATTATACAATTTTAATATAAAATCCTTTTTTCTTTATAAAAAAGAGATATTTTATATAATTCATTATGTCTCTCTCTATGTTGCTCACTTTATAGTATGACTATTGTAAATGTCCTAATATTAGTGACCATAGAAAGATGTATTTGTTGGGTTTTAAATTAATGTTGAGAAAATGTACCACAAGGACATCTAATGGTAACTTTTAAGTAAGGATTGTGATATGGGCTATAAAAGCCCTAAAGTGGTATCAATGGATAGACCTATGACCTCCAGAGGACGTCTTGTTATGACGAAACGCGTCGGGGCGGGTCTATTCGAACTGATACCACGATAAACCAGGAAGTAGCAGACGATTAAGAAGCTACAGTATACCGGCCGGTTTCTTGATTTTAAACTGTGAGTTTTTCTATGTTTTTTATAATAAACGTTTATGCATACCACACCATGAGGAGGTTTCTTTTGTAATGATATAAATCCATAACGGACGGAACACTGCCGAAAGAGACATCTGAAATGTTGACCCTCTGATCTGATATCGCTGCATTATCACCTCAACAGTGGGTTGAGTGCACACCCAAAAGGGGGCAATTCGGAGACACTCATAACACGTTGGTGTGGGAAGAATTTATCTATTATTTTCGAAATATTTGTTTGAAGTCTTCATTGGATTCACTCAGAAGCACATCACTGACTTTTCACCTATTGGGACTGTTTTAAAGTTCAGATAATTTACGGTTTACATAATTTACTGGCAAATGAGCCATTCACGATTTGTGATATTGTCTAGGAATGATTTTTCACTACCATGATGACACAAGAGTGATATAATATTTTTTACACTGTGGTTATTTAATAGCTATTTTTACCACTACCACTGGATTAAGGTTTTGCATTATATACACGGAGTATTATTTATATTGTGATAATTATATGTTCAGATTGGCATATTTATATATTTATATATTCACTTTATTTTCACCTTCAGCGCTGCACAATTTATACTTCATACAATATGAGTATTACTTGGGTGGGGGAGGTGAAGTGGTTAAACTATATTCTAATGGAAAATGAACCTCTCCTGTGCAAAGAAGAGTAATGTGTGTTAGTTCGTGTGTTAGTTCCTCCTAACAATGTATCAGTGTGGAACAGACCGCTAATAGAAGGATGCCATATACCACAATAATAATCTGCATCATCCTCTAACAACACTGACTTTATGGTTAAATATCCTGTGTTCTTTGAGGTGTCTTTGGATCCAGAGAATCGATCAGGGACCCCAGCTCCTTGGTTTATGTTACTGTCGCTGGTATACCGTAACAGATATCGGGGTCTGTCCCCTGTTTTCTGCTGATACCAGCGCACATCGCGATCACCTATACTGAACCCAGTAACTGTACAAGACAATGTCACTGTGTTCCCGGGAGAGACTGATTGAGCGACTGGCTGGGTCACAGTGTACTGAGCAGCACAATCTGAAATACAGAAATAAATGTCATTTGTATAAAATATCAGATTTTATCATGTAGATTATACATTACCAAACCCCATCTCCCCTCTTACATGTGCAGAATAAGACAGAGGTGATGAATAGGACAGCCCAGGACATGGTGCAGGTGACTCTGCCAGACATCTGTGGATTGTGTTCTATCTCCCCTGCTCATTATATACAGACAGAGCACAGAGAATGCAATGATCAATGTAAATGTGATCAGAGCTGATAGGACAGTGTAGTCTCCTCCCCTACATCTGTATGCATGTAATATCATGCAAAAAACTTTACTTTAACCAACCTTCATACCATTAATATCCCTACTGTATCATTGCTGTAATAAAGTAAAGTCATAAAGGTTACTTCTAGGAAAACAATGCATGGAAATTTATTCCAACGTTTTACTTGCATCCATTCATGGACGTGCTTACATTACAAGAAAATATTTCTGCAGTGACCGTGCCTTTTGCAATTGTGTATTCAATTTACTATGGGGTCTATTCACGAAGCAGCCGAAGGATCTAGCCGCAGCTAGCTGGCTAGCTTCGGCCCCAGGACCTGCTGTACGGGCTATTCACTATAGCCCGTACAGCTCCCGAACTTGGCCGAGCGGCTCAGTCGAGCCGAACGCATACGCCTCGGCTGAGCCGCGCTGAACGCCGAAGCTGGCCGCCTGGGAGAGAAACACTGCTTTTCATTTTTATTTTATTCTGACACGGAGCCGTGTCAGAATAGAAAAAAAAAATATATTTTTTTGGTACTGTGAAGAACCCCCTTCGCCCCCTTGTGCTGGAATTTTTTCTCCACCAATTTTAGTTGGTGGCCTCTAGTGTTTGTAATGGAGTTACACTTAAAGAGTTTGTTGCCAATGTTGCTGTCCCCATTGAACATCTTGTACATGAAAATCATATCCCCCCTTAATCTCCTTTAGGTCGGTCATTCACTCGACTGCCTACTGCAGTTTAGTGAATAGACCCCTATGTTTATCGCTGGACTGTAACAAGTCTGAACATCTATTTTTCTGTGTTCTGCAGGTTTTCTTTAAGCCTGGTGGGTTGATTGAGTCCCCCTGTTTAGTCTACTGCTATACAAAACTAGATAAATAAAAGTGTAAATCTGAAGTTCATATATACATATGTTATGTAGGTTTTCTTTACAGGCAGGGGAAATAGTGTATACCGACTGAAGCAAAGTACTGGCACATCTCATAGCCACCAGGTATTGATATAAAGCAGACAAAACAATGCATCTTAATTGTATGTTAGTTTTTGGTGTTCCATCAAAATCTGGTGTTTTTGGCATGTGAATGAAATGAGAATATCACTGCAATCATCTATCCTCCCACTATAATCACTCAATCCTATTACTTATACTCATTCTCACTTCAATCTCCGTACAATCAACACTAGATTTACCAAAACTATATAATATGAGAACCTACCTAAACTATCTAGAATAAGGCAGGTCCCTGCAATGTATATACACACAGATTGTACCATTTATATCAAACCTTAGGGAGCTTAAGCGTAGCTTTACCCAAAACACTTTTTTTAAAGTTTAATCCCCTATTAAAAAAAAAAAAAAGTTTGAACACGGTCTGTTTCTGTTAAACAGATTTTTCATATTTAACAATCAGGCTCAGTCTCTTTTGCATTCTCGACATCCTTGCTAGTGCCAACATGTGGTTTGCACTGTGTGTGCTATCATCAGCCCCACCGGTGTAGGCCCAGCCCTCATGTTGCTTCCAATGTCACTGTTCTCAGTCCAGCCTCCACTGTTTCTGTATAGTAGCAGCACTAAAACCATGGAGCAAGCCTTTTGAAGAGCAACTGATGATATACTGTTCTGTTTTGATTACTATTTTCCACAGAGCGAGCTGGTGACATAGTAGCAACATGATGTAAAGTGAGTTTTTCTGAAGGTTTTTTTTTTTTAAATGGGTATTTACTAGTGACTTTACTGTTCGCTAACTGCTAGTATCCAGGAAATTGAGTGCTAGATTTTAGACAAGACGGTGTCAGCTCCAGCTAGTAGGGGATTTTGAGACCGAAATGTGAGCAAACGTATCCCTTGCATTGAAAAATCCTGCATAGTTTGTGGAAATAGAACTGTAGAATTTAGTTTTCCCACCGGTGGATGAGAGATTTTAATTCTGCTTTAACCCTACCTATCCCCTAACCTCAACCTTTATTCCAACTATGGAAAATGCGCCTCCGTGGCAAAGTTTGATAGCCAACATGCCTGCAGAAGGGACACAGTGTGCAAACGTACACAAAGTGTCAGTTATGATATGTAGCAACCCTGTCTTCTGCAGTATTCAATCTAGTGTGATTATTGCTGGACTGTAACGAGTCTGAGCATCTATTTTTCTGTGCTCTGTGGGTTTTCCCTAAGCCTGGTTGCTTGATTCCTCCTTCTGCTGGGAGGAGGCACCAGCATACAGTGTAGGAGGGTTAACCACAGGTTATTAATATTTGTCTGACTCAACCAATCCCTGAGGAGCTGGCTCAGAGGTTTGACTGGGCAGATCATAAATATTTGGGAGTACCTTTCCAGAACTCTCTACCCTGGGGTTTCTCCCTAGTAGGAGACCTGTACAAGAATGTGCTGACAGGCATGGCCTCAACATTTTACATATGCTTGGTGCCCTGGGGCCTAAGTTACTGCTGGTGTGGATTCCCGATGGAAGCTGGGCTGGAGAAGGGATCTTCTTGCTAAAGAGTGTTGCAGAGGAGTTGGGTAGAAGCTGCTGTCTGGACATTATAAGAAGGATTCATCAGCCATAGATCCAGGTATCACACTGGGAGGACAGAAGCCAGTTGGTGCGCTACAAGGACTATAACTAGGGTTGCCACCTGTCCAGGATTCACCCGGACAGTTTAGGGTTTTGAATGCTGTGTTCGGGTTTCATGGGAGCAGAAACCCAGACACAAGATGTCAGGCAGACAGGGGCAACCAAAATTAAGATAGGGGCTACTGGCCCCCCACTAAAAATAGTCTCAACTGTGATATTTACATATGAAAGGGTGGTGCTATTTACATATAAAAAAAGCTGCAACTCATTCTCCCAAGAAAAAGTGTCCGCGCCTCGCTAGAGTGTTCGGGTTTCACTTGAAGAAAAAGGTGGCAAACCTAACTATAACTGCTCTTACAGGTTCAGAGATTTACTGATTTAATGGTTAAATAACCTGTGTTCTTTGATGTTTCTTTGGATCTAGAAAATATATCTAGGACTTCAGCCCCATGACACTGTAACGATAATGGAGATACCAGGGTCTATTCTGCTTTCTGTTATTACCAGGACACAGAGCGATCACCGTTGCTAAAAACAGTAGCTGGTTGGGTCACAGTATTCTATGCAGTACAATCCAAAAATCAAGCAACCTATCCCTGGAAGAAATGACAGTATAGACCTTAAGAAATGTGTATTTAAACTTCCACTTTTCTTCCATAGGTATTTTCCAGAATCTCACTTACTTACATGTGCAGAAAAAGAAAGCAGTAGTGAACAGGGCAGCCTAGGAAATTGTAAAGGTGACTTTGCAAGAGATCTGTGGATTGTGTTCTCTTTCCCTTGTTCATTACATACCACAATGGAAATTGACTCTATGTTCAAAGGAATATTGCAAGTGAATACAAAAAGATATGGGAAGGAAAAACTTTGAATGTAAGAATTTAAAATACTTGATTTTTTGTGTTTTTACCTGCAATTTGTATGTTGGGGGCAGGGTCTCTTTAAGACATTAATGTTTGGTCGCTTTAAGCATATATAAAGTGCTGTGAAGCATATGCAAAGTGCACAGCACAGGCTTTACACAGGACAGTGTAGAACGTGTCTAGCATACACTGGGTTAAAGTTGCACATTGATTTGCAATGCTTGTGTATACCTTTACTAAATGGGAACACTTTAAAGAGTTTGTAACTAGAATTATTTTCTTGTTCATGTTTTAGTAGTTTTCTACTGACCATCTTAGTACCCTCATAAGTGTTTTGCCGTTATGAATTACGCATCTGAAAGTGATAGTTCTGGTTCCATCTATTGTTCTGCTATACACAGAGTCCAAACTCTGACAATCTACAGCTAACAGAATCTGAAAAGCCATAAAGAGACCCAATTATTAGAACTCCTGCATATTGTATCAGAAAACCCTCATGTTTAGTGTCAGACAGCTTGTCTTTGTGCCACCACTCTGTCCCTGAAGGTTCTCTGATCATATGTTGCATGGGACGGTTGCATGGAAGTTATGAGATATGACCCTTCTTCAGACATATTGATCATTGAAAAACACACAAAGGCAAGGTGACAGTTTGACATTTTGGTGATAAACAGGCATGGAGGCACATTGTCTAAAGTATTCAGGAAGACTGTGTGGACCCCTATGGTGAAAACTCAACGAATCAACATTTGCTTTAATTCACATTCTATATCTAAACATGTTTATGTAGATTGTTAATTGACAATTAGACACTATATTCAGTGGAAGAACTGAATTAACTTTCTCCATTAGAAAGCTTTAGGACAAGAAGACAAAAAAGCTGGCATTAGGATGTGGTGTGATGTAAATGATTAATCAAGCAAGCATTTCTTGAATATGTACAATATATTTAAATCTCTAGCAGGATTAATGTTAAACTTGCTCTTGTTATTTTTTATTTTTCAGTGGAAGTGCGCAAATTGGTTTAGTAAAACTCACTTCAAGCAGCCCTTTCGAGTAGGCCTGAATTAAAAAAGTGAAGATTTTGTTATAGAAAACAATTATAAATGTTAGTTATGCCTAAGCAGTACCATACAAAAATGACCCTTTGCCTTGAATATGCCTTCATAAATAGAAGTCTACTTCCTGGTATGTAAGAGTGCCTAGGCCCAGCCTCATAGCTGTATATCTGTAATATGAGAACAAAGGCACTGCTGCCTCTGATTGCTAGTTTTATGAGATTTGGTGATGTCACTACTGTGGTGCTCGCTGTTATTTATTTATTGTTTTGCTGAAAGCTTTGACATTAGGAAGCAAAGCCTTGCCTCTACCAATATAGCTGTCTCTACACAGAGACACAGTGCAGAACAAGACATGTGTCACGATTTGGGAACTGGAGCACCAGGAATAGTAAACTTCGGGTCTTGCGGAGCAGTATATTGTGACTGAATTAGGAATGTGCAGCTCTGACATTAGGAAG